GGAAGAGCCATCAATTTCAGCTTCGTTATTTCGGCAAGGAAGCTAGGTAGGGGTGACCCAATCGGAGCTCCTTTTAACTTTTGATAGTATCGATGGTCAAACGAAAAATTAATTTATAAACAGAGATTTACGATCGCTAACAAGGCAGCTGCAGGAGCCTTCGTTTCGCAGTTTTTTAGGACTTCTTCTGTGCACTGCCTTGCTACATCGACTGGTATAGTAGTGACCAACGAAAAGACATCATCATCGGAGACTGTGATTCCCCTCAGTTTCTATCGAAACTCTCTAGAGTCCTGAATAGATGTTTCACAATCCCTCGTAATTGGACGGAATTGATGGAGTGGCCACTTAGAAATTTTGTAATTCGGTGCACCGATTAATGACACTATCGGCCGCAGGGGAACTTCCGGTTTGTTAACTTTGGGTAATCCGTGGATCTTAGCGTGTTTGCTTCGGATTGTTTCAGAGATTTTGCAATATCCTCTGATAGTAGTTTTGTCCCTGTAAGGCGTTTCAGTACTTTGTCAACAGATTACATCTACTTCAAATTACAGTTCTTGATGTATTTACTCGCCCAGCTTACTCCAACCTATTGAATCCACAAATTTTGATACAGTAAGCTCATTGCCTAAGCAGAATTTCCTAAAAAGTCGATCTAGAATCCACCACATGACTACCAGGCAGACTTAAATATCCGGAGGGAAAATAAAACGAACCTGATATGATTATTCTCCAAGAAGAGAAGTCCTGTCCCTCATGCGAGGTCTGATATGTAGGTAGAATATGGTTGTCCTATAGGAGAGAGTATATAGAGGGGTAAGAAACGTTCCTCATCAAGAAAAAGCGCCTAAAACAAATGAGACTATGGGGTGCGATCGTAATACATTCGTTATGAATGCAGAAACAACCATCAGGATAGCGAGTTAGGAGGAGCCCGCTGTGATCACTCACATTTATTTTAGCGCTGACACAACAAGGGATCATTTAAGGCTCCGAAGATCAACCGGCAAGGCAGTGAAACAGGAGAAACCCACCACGATTGATCATAGGCAGCTTACTGTTTAACCGAGAAGGGCAGATTAAGGCCTGTGAGGACCATCAAAGCGCGGGGAGATGCGACCATGATGTCTCTAGCTAACTGACCAAGGTACCAGCAGATGACGAGAATAGAGGAATCCGCCGCGTTCTTTGAAATGAACAAACGACGTTAAACGCCGCGGAACTCATCATGGCAGTGGGGTGGGGGTAACGGCAATAGAGTTAGCAGCCATTTTAAAACAAGGGATTGGAAAAGCCTAAGTAAGA